TAAATTGTTTAAGTAAGCAGTGTTAATTAAAGATTTAGTTTACACGCTAGTTCTTTATTAATGTAACTTATGCTATTTACTCCTAAGTTAATAAGAGCCTATATTAAGGCTAATATAGTTTTTTATTATAAATATATAAAAATATTAACTTAGTACTTCTAGTTGTTAGTAGGGGACTTAGCCTATAGGTTAGCAGAGATTTAGTGTTAAATTAGTCCTAGAGGGTAACTTAGCTTTAGGACAAGCCTTTTTGCAGGCTCCTACTGCTATAGCTGTGGCTATGTTAAGAGTAGTAAAAAAGATTAGAGCTTAAATATAAGTTAAAGCCCTTATAAAAACAAAATTAAAATAGTAAGAATTTTTAATAAGTGCTAGCAGCGCTACTTACATAGACTTAAGAAAAAGAAATAAAGTAGTTTTAAAAGATATAACTATGCTTACTACACTTAAAGCATTAACTTTTTTTCTTATAATTTTTACGCTTTCTAGAACTAACTAAAGCATAATTTAAATTAATTTTTATTATGTTAGAGTCTTTATTTGCAACTGCGCTAGTTTAGGGGCGTATTAGAGCTTGTATAGAGAGGAACCTTATGTTATTATTATAGGTAGCAATTAGGTTTGCATACGCGTTAAGGTTGTTTAGAAGAGGTTCTCCTACTATAGCATGTTACAGTTTAGTTAAGAGGGAGTTATATAAGGCTATAATTAGACCTATCTTATTTAGGCCTATATTAAATGCAAGTTAGCAGAACTTAGTAAAGTGTAAAGTAAAGCTTTTTTTTTTTTATTATAAGGTGTTTAGGCAACTTAGGGCTGTTAACTCTTTATTTAAGTCTCTATAAGTTACTTATAAGAACACTATAAATTAGTCTAGGTTAATAATATCTTTATCTATTAGTAAGTTAATTAAGGCTGTTATATTATAGTTAAGTTAAAAGTAGGCATATAGTAACTAGAAGCGTTTAAAGGGGAATTAGTCTACATTTCCTTTAAGTTTGTATTAAAGCTTATGTAGGAAGAAAAGTAGGTCTTTTTATTTTCTATTAAACAGTAGAGGATTAGGGAGTTAGTTAGATTTTATTACTAGGTTAAAAGAGTTACAGGTTATAAGTAGTGTTAGGTAGAAAAAAGTTAAGCTATCTCTAGACTTTTAAGTAGGCTTTAAGGCTAGTAAGTTCTTAGTTCCTACTACTATAATAGAAGTTAAGGCAGAAACAGACTACTTAATAGCATAAAGCTATTCTTTAAAGTCCTTTTAAAAAGCTTTAAAGCTTACAACATAGTAGCTTTTCTATAAAGTAAGCGCTTTTTAGAAGGCTTCTTAGCTTACTTTAATAGCTTAGAGTTATGTAAGTACTAAGCTTATTAGATTAAATTTAGAGGCTATTTTTAGCTAAAGTTTTAACATAACATAATGTTATAATTATGCACAAGTAAGGTTATAAAGCTTTGCAGAGGTCTAGTTTAATTACTACATAAGGTATTATAGTAGGTATAAAATGTTATGTAAAGAATAAAAAAGTTTAGAAGGAAATTAGTAATTAAATACTTAGCTTAGAAGTCTAAGCGCTTTAAGTATAAATTAAGCTTGTTCTAGGTTTAGTTAGTGTTAAGGCAGTTTATGCTTAAGTTTATGTCTATGTTGTGTTGTGTTTGTGTTAGACGTGCACTAATAATACTCTAGTACGCGTCTAATACAGTTATGTCTGGGATCCGGGGAGGATACCGTGACAAAGGCAACTCTAGCTTTAGCTTTTAGTAAAGGCGTAGTTAGCTATGTAACTAGACTTAGCTTCTAGGTATTTATAACTAGAAATAGATTATAGCTAGTACAGCACCTTTTTAGTAGTAAAGGTAAACTCTAAGTTAATAAAATTATAAGCTTATCTTAAAAATACTAAAAAATAAACTTCTAGTAGCACTTTAACATAATTAGATTTAACTACTTAGAGCAAATACTTTTATGTAACTAGAGCTTTACTTTTAACTATTTGTTACAATCCTTACTCCGGCGAAATGGTTATTTCGGGAGTACGTCGGCCTATAGTGGTATTTTAGCGAGAGGGGAAGGACTTAGCTAGATCGAGTGTACAGTTCGTCGAGCAGAGTGTGGGATGTGGAGAGGATAAGGTAGGCAGGCTTGTGGTTTGCCCAGCGGCTGTATAGGGAGCTGGAAAACCTGATCCGTTGGGATAGGAGTGGAGGTATATATAGTGCAAGATATACAAGTTAGCAGAGTCCTCTTTGTAAAGGTTTTAATGCTTCTTAGTTTATTAAAGGGGAGAGTAGATAATAAACTAAACAGTAATTACAACCTTCTAACTATGGTCGTGATTAAGACTATATACATGGGATTTGTATGCTCTGCATGCTTGCATGCTTGCATGCTACCTAGCCTGCATAGCCTGCAGGGCTGCAAGCCTGCAAGCCTACATAGCTTATTGGATGGTACACTCCGCGAGGCTTTTCTCTAAAGCCGGAGCCATTCCTCATCCGTCTTGTCACGTGATTCGCTCAGCGCGGGGCTAAGCGTCTTCCATCTGATGTCGTTCGGGCTGTGTGGGACAGCTAGTTGGGTCATTACGGTCTGACTGTTGGCTGTAACACTATTCTAGTACTATTAATATGCCTAGTAGTTTATAATAAGCTAACTAGACCTACTTCTATATAATTTAACTAGCTAATATTTCCTACTTTACCTAGTTTATTACTATCCCTGCTAGTGTGCTAGTATAGTTAAAGTAATTACTCTTAGACAAGTTTAATATAGTAGACATAGTATAAAGCATAAATAATAAACACTAACTTATTTTATATTAACTTTTTTTTTTACTAGCTTACTAACTTTATAACTATGTTAATTTAAAGTAGTCTACTAGCCCTCTTTTAAGGTAGTTAAAGGCATAATATAGAATAAATAGTATAGCAGTTACATGTTGTTTAGGTCTTCTTACTCTATAACTAAACTACTAGATTAAGTCTTTAATATTATCTATAATTAGGATTAACTACTAATAGACACACTAGATATTAGACAGATCTATACTTATTCTAAGCATAGTTATAGTGATAGTAACTTAAATTAAAGACTTATTCTTTAAAAAATTAGCATATATTTAAGCTTAGTTAAACTTTAATATGTGCTTTATATATACTACTAACACTAATTAAATATCTATAAGTAGACAGCTTTTTTTAAGAGTTAACTTTAAAAAAGCTAGGCTAAAGTAGAAATTTTATTTTTTTTATTTAAAAATATAATTATTTTTAAAATACATAAAAAGATAACTTATAATATTTCTATATTAATTCCTATATTTATATAGTTTAGAAGCTAGTTATATAACATCTAGCAGCTAGTTAAAATTAGAATAATTCTAATAGCAATCTTTAGCCTGTTAATAAAGGTATGTATAATTCTTAGCTATATAAAAGTGTTATTATTACTAGTTACTAGCGCTTAAAAACATTTACTTTTAAAAAGCTAGGCTTTAGTTACAGCATCTAAGGTTACTATATATGTAAAGAAGAGAGTTATAAAACATATTATCTAATAAAGCTTATAAAACTAGATATATACTGTTTAAAATTTACACTACTACTAAATAACATAGCACTTATTAATTATAACTAGTTAAACTTAGTTTATAAAGCTACTTATAAAAAAAAGATAATAAAACACTAGAAAGATTACCTACTTAAAACTAAAAAAAATATGTGTATAACATTTTTTAAAGATTGTACTAAAAGGTTTAGAATTAAAATCTTTTATTTTTATAGTAACAAAGTATAAATAAGCTTTAAAATATTTTATACTTTTTTTATACTTTTTTTTAAGCTTTAATAATAGGATAATTTAGAGTGTTATATACTTTATTATTACTAAATATATATTTAGTGTAATACTTTTACTAAACTTAGTCTTTATAACTAGAATTATATTGCCTAAACTAAAGATAAGGCATTAGACAACATAGACTTACTTAGTATATAGTTCTCTTTTACTAAGTAAAAAAAAAAAAGTATTTTAAATAAAAAGCTTTTATAAGCTAATACTATATAGTTTCTAACATTAAACTATAACTATATAAATAGTTATAAAGATATTATTATCTTTATTAAATAAAAAAATATACGTAATCTTTTTTTATACAGCTTAAATTTCTGTTAGTATAGCGCTTTCTAGTGTTCTAGTAAAGAACCTAGAGTCTTATTAATAAGGTGCTTAGTAATACTTAATAAGTAATACTTAATTATAATAAGCGCACTTTTTACTATAATTTACTAGACTAAGTAACACTTATTATACATCTACTAAATAACTTAATTATAGATTAGAACTATTCTGCTTATACTATATATTACTATTTTAAATTTATGTAGCAGCCTTTAAACCTAGTATACCTTATTTAAAACAGAGAGCGTGTTCTAAAAGCTAAATTAAAGTAAGTTAGTTAATTTTAGCTATTATTAATAGTTAAACATAAGTAGATAGACTAGTAAAAAATAAAGTTAAAAAAAATAGTTATATGTTAGAACATGTATAATGCTAAGCCTATAATTTTTATAGTTAAAATGTTAGAAATTTATTTAAAAATAGTTTAAAGTAAATTATATATACTTTTTAAGTAATTAATTTTAATTATAGGCGCTGTAATAAGCTGTGTGTAATAGTATTTTATATAAGAGTTTTTAGTAAGTTAATAGACAAAGCTTTGCACACGTTGCGCTGCACTAAAGTCCCTTAGACAGCAGCTAAGAAGGAAGAAGCCCTAGCAGGGGTCTGAAAGTATCTATACTATTTGTGTACTAGTGTCTTCTTGGCATGCCGTCTGAGCTAGTTGAGATAACTCTCCCCATCCCGTCTGAGCTTGCTGAGATAATAGACATCACCTGAAACCACGGAGGCGATTCTGGATAGGGGCAAGCGGCAAGAACCCTGTCGCCTGAACGAGGGTCAGCTCCTTGTGAATTTAACGCAAGCTATTCTTTGAAATATGGCGATGCTCAGGAGGCTGTCTCCCGCCGCTAAGGGATCGGATCCAAGCGAAGCACCGTTGCTTAACGAAAACGAGGCTGCTGAACCACGTCTACTCGACAGCGACCAGGTTCCCACTTGGTATGCCCATAACGATTACATTCGCACAGGCTATCGGCCGGTCACAAAGTCTATACAACTCTGTCTTCAGAGTTTAACATACCTACACAATGAGACTGTTAACATCTACTCGCATCTTATTCCAGCTGCGACGGCGTTACTTGGCAACTACTTCTTAGCCCGTTATTTCTCCTGGTACTTCCCACGAGCTTCTTGGGCCGATCAGCTCGTCTTTCACATATACTTGACGACATCAGTGATCTGCTTTGGTATTTCGTCAACATACCATACACTGCTGTGCCACTCTGCGTACTATTCGGACTTATGGGGTCGTTTGGATTACGTCGCCATTGTCTTTCAAATACTAGGTTCCTTCATATCAGGCATCTACATTGGCTTCTATTGCGAGCCAAATCTACAGAGAATCTATTGGTCAATGGTGCGCACAGCTTTACTCTCAGTCATGCGCTGCTATCAGTCACGCGCTGCTAACCTAGGCTCCCAGATTGGTACACTAGGGCTCTTGACCGGCTTCGTCGTCGTGAACCCTCGTCTACAAAGTAAAAAATGGAGAACTCTGCGCCTTTCGGCCTTCGTGGTGACAGGACTCTCAGCGTTTGCCCCAATTATTCATGCTGCCAGCATCTTTCCGTACGAACAACTTGATAAACAGGCTGGTTTGAGGTACTACTACCTCGAAGGTCTGGTTATTCTTGTAGGGGTTGTATTTTATGCAGTAAGCAATAACAATATAGTCCTACTACGCACGATACTAATCGCTAACACTGCTCAGACGCACTTCCCTGAATCATGTAATCCAGGAAAGTTCGACATTTGGGGCTCTTCCCATCAGATATTTCACTTGTTTATTGTCCTTGGCGTCCTCGTTCACTTCTATGGCATCTTAGCTGCGTTCGGGTGGAACTACGAAATTCAACGCTGCAAGTAGCCTTAAGTAGTTTTTGAATCCTTGCTTTTGCATAGTGGGCGTAGTTAGAAGTGGGTTTGTTGGGAATGCCTGCTCAGGCCCAACATCTCTGAGCGGCAATCGCTAGCATTAGATGATAAGTAGTTGAAATACAGAGGATATGGCTGGAACGCTATCGAGCATCCACAGTCATTGATGAGCCATATAAAGATATTAGATACAAGAATAATGCCATGCCACTAAAACTATCACCGGCATGGTTCCCTAACCAAGGTGGGGTTCTGTAAAAAGAATAAGAAGTAAGACAGTCTGTGTAATAGTTGTTACGCTAGATGCTACCTAGTTTTAGGTAAAAGCTAACAAGAGATAATCTGTTTTGTAAGCCTGCTAATAGTTAGCCTTTTTATTAGCGTCTGAGACGATTATGTCGCACGTGTCTCACGCGATACTATTCTTATGTACTGCGCTATTCACTTATTAGAACTAGCTTCTTTTTCATACAGTATACAGTTAGCCTAGAGCTCTCTTAAGCTTCTTAGACCTTACAAGACACTAGTTTAATTTATCTTGTTTAGATTTTAATACCTTGTTAACTTGCCTACTCTATAACTTCTTCTTAGCTTATACAAGAGTTATAAGCCTAGAGTTGCGCTTCTAACTAGTACTGTAACTATTTGCATGAATCTTTCTATTCAAAGTTATCTAACAAACCTATATCCTGTATCGGCACAGGCAAGACAATGGGTCCCAATGCGGAGGGAATCCACTCAGAGGCATATGGGAGTGCGTGGGGACTCTGAACCTGGGAATGCCATTGACACCTATAGGCCTTGTACGAAAGGATATCAGAAAACTACCAAGCTAGCTACAGGGGCGAGGTGCGACTAAATACATGAGGGAATAGGGGTAACTGCGGGGGACTGGGTCGAGTCATGGTCGGGGCCGATACGGGGACCCTTCGGATAGGATCCGAGCGACCCGAGATGGAACGATTCGTAGAATCGTTACATATCCAAAGGTTCCGCGTATGTGCCTGTAATGAGGTAGGCGCCCCGCCTGCCAAGCCGATACTATACGACTTTCCCCACTGTACTAAAAGGTACGCACGAGAATACTTAAGCTAAGTATTCTCGCATAGTATAATATATATATAGATAATGCTAGGGCTAGCACTAGCACTAGCGGTTGTCTCTAGTCTAGCCTAAACCTCTATAAGCGAGAGAAGGCCACGTGGTTGACTGTGCCTACCTCGTTACACTGCCCCGACCCTGCTCTACCCCCTGCGCTACTTCTATCTCTAAGTATTTAGCTGCACCTTTTCTCTTAGCTAGCTTAGTAGTTTCTAGTATCCTTTTATATAAGGCCTATAAGTATTAATAGAATTCCTAGGTTTCTAAGTTTCTATACGCTTTAATATAGCTTTAAGTAGATTTACACTGTGATGACAAGCACTGTCTCTACTACCGTATAGAGCTGGGGAAGCAAGGCAGAGTAGGTCGGCTCTATTTCAGCTACACTAAGATAGGGAGGAGAAAGGGAGCTTTAAGGGCAGCTCTGCAGAAGAAGTGCTTACAGCGCTAAGGCGCTAGCAAGGACACTAGCGCTAAGCAAACTAATAGCGTTGCGCTAGTTGCACCCTCTATATCCTAATTAGCTGCACAGGCAGCTTGTTATATAACGCGCGACAGAGCTCTTTGCGTAGGACTGTCACATTACCCCCTTCTAAGGCAGTCTTATCTCTAAGACTAGGTAGTTTAGCGCTTTTATGTTAGTCTTTAAACTAGTTAAGACCTTAGTGTAAGTTAATTATTAACCTTTATAAGTTTTATATTCTTACCTTTTTTATACACTTACAACTAGGTGTCTAGTCGCGCTGGCAGACTAGGCTTAGTAGGATATGCTTAGTAGAAGTCCCTTACCTTATGTAGAGCTCTAAGGAATCTGTTAGCATTATACTAGGTAGGGTTAGAATTATAGCCTACCTATAAGGCTTAGTATTAGAGACGCCTACAGTAAATGTAACTATCTAGAATGTCCTAAACCTGCTACTTAGGGTAACTGTTAACCTTAATTAGCTTTTTTAAAGGCTTAACCTAACCTAGCAGCGTTATAGGTGCTGCCTGCTATAGGCAGTCTGCGTAGAAGACGTTGTGCATTTTTATGTATAAAAGGAGCTTAAGCTAGTATAAATAACCTCTTATGCTTATAATTAAATAGGGCTTGTACATCTGCTAGTTAAGCTTCTAGCTAAGGCGCTTTATAGTAAAGCCTTTAAAGGTTATATATACTTTATTACCTACTATAAAGTTAGGCTTATGCTGCTTTTTATTTACTTAAGCTACTTACTACTTTTAAGCTTAAGTAATACCCTTTCTTATAATTTTAATTACTTATTATATAGTGTTGTAGTAAAGCTTAGCATAGCTTTAAGCCTTTTTATATAAAATCTGCTCTAGCGCAGTTAGTAAGCGTCTTATACATGCCTTCTAGTTCTAGTAGTGTGTTAGATAATAGCTAAACTTAATTTTAAACAGTAATAACCTTATTATTTTATATAGTAAAGATGCTTAAGCCTAGTCTATATAAGGCAGCAGGTCTAACTAGTTGTTCTAGAAGTAATTAATAAATAAACGCAGTTGCTAGTTAATATACTAATTTAGCACTTTTATATTACTATTAGTTTAAAGATAGTAGGGTGTAAAGAGCTTTTATTTAACACTAGTAAAGCAGTAAAGCTTATTTATAAATATAAAGGTAAACTATAGTCTATAGTTAAAAATAATTAATTAAAGGGGTCTATAGACACACTAGATATAGTAATAGTATAGGTCTGCAGCCTTTATAGCAGTAATAGTCTTATAGCACAGTAGTAAAAAGCAGCACTTACTTAAATAGTCTACTATAATAAACATGTTATTATAGCTAGCTTAATTAGGTAGAAATAACTTAAAATTTATAAAAATATCTTACTATACTTACTTAAGTATTAGTAGTAGCTTAAAAAGCCCTAAAGTTTTATTTTAAAAGATATAGCTTTACTAATAAGCTTTATAAGTGCTAATATAAGTCTTAATGTTTTAGCTTATACTTAGCTAGTAGTACTACTTGCACAGCAGCTTAGTTATTTTTCTAGTCCTAAAATATGTAGTAAGTTGCATTATGTAAATAGTATAAATAAAGTAAGTTCTTAAGAACTAGATAGCTAAGACTATAAGCTTCTTTTCCTTTAGTAGTAGGCTCTTAGTGTTAAGCTTCTATTATAAGCTAGAATTTTACACTTTATTATAGCAGTATTATAAGCTTTTATAATTTTAATTAGCATCTAAGATTTAATTAATAAGCTTATATAGTTAATTTATTAGTAGCAGCTCTATAAGCTTCTTATTTAGTAAAAAGGTGCTCTATAAGGCAGCGCATAATTAAGTAATAAGACTAACACTAATCTACTTCTAGCTTAAAAAAAAGTATGTATAAGTAGCTTTATTTTTTTTTTTTATATCTTAAGCTTCTTCTACTTTTTTAACAGCACATCTGCAATAATGTTAGCAGTGCCTAGGCAGTAGGTTAGTGTAAGGTTAAAGTCTACTATTAGCATAGCCTATTATATCTAGTAAGGGGTAAGCTTACACTTAATAGCAAAGTACTTAAAAGCTTAGTAGTTAGTAATTACTATAAATAGCTTATCTTATTATAGGCTTATTAGCTACACTTACTACTTTTATAAGCTTTAAATAACTATAAGCATTTTTTTATTATATATATTATAGTTTATTTATAGCAGGCTTATAGTCTTAGAGTAGAACGCTATAGAGCGCTAGATGCTGCTATCCTACAGCTGTAATAGTACTTTTATAATAACTCTGTTGCTTACATTAGTCTTTATACATGTCTTATAATTTAGTAAGTAGTGTGTAAAAATATTATTTAACAGCATAAAGTTCTTAGTGTGCTTAAACATAGCTAACTTATGCTTTTTTAAAGAATGCTAGGCGCCACACTTAAGCAGCTTTATAAGTAGCTATATAATGCAACTATAGTTCTTAAAAAAGGCGCAGTAGAAGTTGTAGAACCCTAAGAACAACTGCAGGCTTTTAATTAAAGTTAGTATAGGCTAGTCTTAAATAGCAGCTACCTTAGTAAAGTTCTTATAGATTTTATTTATACTAATAATAAAACTTAGAAATTTTATTTTAGTAACTATAAATTTACTTTTTTTAAGGTTAATCTGTAAGCTAGTGTTTTATAAATAATATAAAACCTTAGCAACATGTGCCTTATGCTATAAAAGGTTGTCTAAGTAGATTAAGATATTATTAAAGTAAGCTATATAAAAGTTATTAAGTAGGCTATGTAAAACCTAATTAATATATTACTAAAAAGTTATAAGGCTATTATAAAGTCTAAAAAGCAGCATGTAATACTTATAGTTGCTATAGCGCGTTTAGAAAGTAGTTAGGTCCTTAACCTTTTTAGTAAGCTAGATATAATAAAACACTTGTTATATATTAAGCTTAGTAAAAACTTTAGCTATAGTTAGCTATATAAGCGTCTTTTAAATTAAAAGTATTAAGTAAGTGTTTTTTTTTATAATTATGTTAAGCTTATAATAGTTTATGTAAAACTTTTACCTTTTTTTTAGCTTTTTAGCAAACAAGACTAGAAAAGCATAGCTAGTGTTACTATGCATAATAAATCTGCGTTGCAGGTGGTTGTCTAGATAGTCCTTAACTAGCCTAAGCTACTCTAGAGACATGCTATATAGTAGGCTACTTAATAAGGTGTTCTTTGCTGTTAGCTTAATATTATAGTTAACACTAGGTTAGTGTAGCAGCAGTTTGTCTAAGTCTCTTTTTAAGAAGTAAGCTAGCATAGCTCTAGCGTACACAGGGGATAGTAACTTCTTAAGCATTAGCTATTAGAGCTTATTCTTAGAATTAACTATTATAGGTGCTTAGTAGTCCTTAATTAGTTAATTAACTTTATAGACACTAATATGTCTAATTACAACATCTCTACGCCTTACATGTAGCATAAACATAGTAGCGTTAATTACATTTACTTTTAGCCCTACCTTAGTAAGTGCTTTTCTAGATATAGCTAGTTAATATTAGCGCGCTTAATTAGCACTAGAAGGTATTAGTTAAAAATTAAGTTACTTTTTTATTTTTTTTAAGTTTTACTACTAATTATGCTTCTAAGTTAATTAAAGTTAGTATTAATTAATTTTTAATATTTTTATAAACTTATCTTATTAGTTAGTGTTTGCTTAATAAGATTAGTTAATTTATAAAAACACGCTACACATAAAAATAATAATATTACACTTATAGTCCTATATTTAATTATTATCTAGCTACTAAATTAATTATTTTTTATAGTTAATTTAGACACTAGCCTTTTTAAGAACTTTACAGCCTATAATTAAGTTATAACAGCCTGTGTTATAAAAGATAAAAAGTGTAGGCAGCTAGTAGCTATTAATTACTAGATTTATATAAAAGTACTTATCTACTTATCTATTTAGTTAATTATTATATCCTATAATAAAAATAAACTTAATACTAAGCATCTTAGGCTATAAGTGCTTCTAGATTGTCTGCAGGTATTATAAGTAGATTAGATTATAGCTGCTAGCCTTTATGTTAATAAGACTATTTAAGTATATAGTAATCTTTCTAGCAGAGACGCAGTAAAGCAGCATAAAAGGCTTACTACTAAATAGCAGCTTATGTAGCTTTTATGCTAGCGCTTTATTTATTAACTTTAAAAAGAAAACTTTTTTTAAAGTAAGTTTTCTTTTAATTTACTATTCTTACTAAAGCTTATAGTGTTTAGCTTTTACACTGCTTTTATAGCCTTACTTTTAGCGTAGGCGTAAGGCTAGTTGCAACTTATATATTCTAGCTAATAGTATAAGTAGCAGGTTATAGCATCCTTTATTAAAGCTGCCTACACTTAGGGCGTTACTAGAGTTATTAAGGCAGTAGTAGTAGTAGGTTAAAGAACATTTTAACACATAAGCTTCTCTTAACCTCTCTA